AGATTTTAACTGGGATTCGAAGGAAGCCAGGGAGGCAAGGAGGCAAAGCATCGCAGATGTGGGGAAGAGCCAGAACGCACAGTCAGGAGATGGAGAGCCCACTGGGAGCAATGGCATCACCGTCCTTGGCAAAACTGTGGAATAGGCCAATCTTAAAAGCAACGGACCAGGTTCTGGGACTACAGATCAGTAGTCTAGATTTGCCTTAACTAATCCTGAGTTCTAGGTCTTCAAGGCATCTAGAAATTTCAATATGGCAAGAATTTAGAAAATAACCAGCAATCACACCAGTCTCATTTTAAAAACACCATTACAAAGAAGGGTTCTGTATAGCAAAGCTATTTCCATGTCACTGCAGGGCTTATAGTATGCTTTGTTGATTCATTTCATCAAAGCATGACCTCCCTTTCAACCTTCTCTCATCCCTTTTTACTTCAAAGAATTCTAAACTTATAAGAGATGCAATTTAAGAATAAAATGAGACAATCATTTAATTAAAGTAACTTATCAAAACCGAGTCCCCCAAATGAGATATCTGTAAAGCACTCTGCACAGTGTTAGGCACTATGGAAATGCTTGTTCTCTCCCTCCCAAAATAATTATTCTATTCATTTAAAATTTATTTTATTTGTAATAATATAATTATATTATCATTTTTCAATATTATCGACAAAAACCAAGAATAAAATATAGAAAAAAAGAAATTCTACTCAAAATAACCACAGAATGTATAAAATATCTAGCAATCTACACACACAGAACCAAGAGACACATAAGAACTACTCTTTACCAAAATGAAGGAAGGAAAGAAGGCAGGATAGATAAATGGATTCATTTATTAAGCACCTGCTATGTATCAGGCACTATATAAGCATTTTATAAATATCATCCCACTTGATCCTCCCAACAACTCTGGGAGGTGGGTGCTATGATTCCCATCATGATTACTACTTTATAGTTGAGGAAACTGAGGCAGACAAAGGTGAAGAGACTTGCCTAGGACCACACTGCCAGTAAGCGTCTGAAGCAGAATTTAAATTCAGGCAGTCCCGACTCCAGGACCACTGCTCTATGTATTGTTCCACCTAACATCCAGGTAGAAATTAACTGCTTACAGTTGGGCCGTGCCAATAGCCAATATTAAAAAAAGATAATACTACCTAAATTAATGTACATATTTAATGCCATACCAATCAAGCTACCTATAGGTTATTTTATAGAACAAAAAAAATAACAAAATTCACTTGGTGAAAGGTAAGGCCAAGATTCTCAAGAGAAATCACGAAAAACAATTGGGAAAGAAGCAGATGACTGCAAACTATATTACAAAGCAGTAATCATCAAAACTACTTGCTACTGGTTTAAAAAGAGTTGATCAGTGGAATAGTTTAAAAGCTAAACCCAGAATCAATTGAACATAACAGCAGAGTGTACAATGAACCCTAACCAGGGCTCTATCTACTGGATAAGGACTATTTGGAAAAGTGGGGAGCGTGGCAAAAATTAGATTTTATACCAATGGCTCTTAACTGTTACTGTGTTCTGGACCTCTCTGGCAATCTGGTGAACCCTATGGACCCCTTTCTCAGAATGTCTTTAAATAAAGGAGATGCAAATTTTTAGTGAAAATAAAGATGTAAATTTTTTCCTTCTATTCCCAGGTCCCCTGAAATCTAACCAGAGATGCTTTCAGAGTCCATGGACTCAAAGTTAAGAACCTCTGCTTTAGACCAATATCTCATACCATAACCACAATAAACTCCAAATGGACACAGGACCAAGATATAAAAGGTCATATCACCAACAAACTAGGAGGAAGGAAAGTGAGAAATTTCACAACTATAGATACAGGAAGAGCAACAGAGATGATGACAGGAGAAAAATTGGACAACTTAGATTACAATAAAATTGGAAATTTTTGCACAAATAAATCAAGGCAGTTAGGATTAGGAAGGAAACAGTTAACAAAGGAAAAAATCTTTGCAGCAAATTTCTCTGATAAAGAAGTGATACGGATTGATACAAATACAGAAAATCAAGAATCATTCCCTAGCGGATAAATGGTCAAAGGATGTGAACAGGTAGATATCAGAAAAAGAAAGTTAATCAATCGAGTCACATACAAGAATGTTCCACGTCAATAATAAGACAAAGGCAAAGTCAAACAACTTTCTGGCTCCCCTTCAACCCCATCAGATTGGAAAAGATGACAAAAATAGTAAATTACAATGAATGGAGGGGCCAGGGAAAGAGCACACGAACATACCATTGGTGGAGCTGTGAAATGGTCCAACCGCTGTGAAAAACAATTTCTAACTATATCCAAAAAGTCACTAAATGTGCATACCCTCTGACTGAGCAATACTACAACTAAGGCTATTAACCCCCACCCCCCGCCCACCGCCAAAGACTTTATCAAAGTCAGAGAGAAAGGATGCATGTTTACAAGAAGATGGTAGCATTTTTTGTGATAGAAAAGAATGGGAAACAAAAGAAGTGTCTAGGAACTGGGAAACAGTCAAACCAATTACAGTATCTGAGCATAATGGAATCTTATTGTGCTGGCAACAGGGGCATATTCAGAGAAACCTGGAAGGGCCTGTATGAATGGATGCTGCACAAAATGAGCAGAAACTGAACAATTTATACAAAGCCTAGTAAATACTCGGTTTGCTGAATGACTTCAGCTTTGCCAAGGAAAACAACTGTGAAAGACTTAATAATACTAGCTAATAATAGTCATGAATTAGATGGAGCTTTAATTAAGGCTTGCAAAGCTTTCCGTGAGTTATCTCACATGATGTCATTGACTGAACACTTTATGCCACAAAAGGTTGATGATGAAGCACCTCTCGGCAGAGGGGATGGACCAGAGGTGCAAAAGGAGATAGATAGTCTCAGAAATAGCCATGTGGGAGTCTGTCTTGCTTGTTCCAAGGGAAGACAGACAGCCTTTATTTTCTAAGTCAGCCAACAAGCATTTATTGAGCACTTACCATATGATAGGTGGTGTGCTGGATCCTAGGAATCCAAGGAAAGTCAAAAAATACTGTCTTCACCCTCCAGAAGCTCACCTAAGTAACTAGGCGCACAGAAAATCTAGATGGTAAAGGGATGGTAATCTCTGAGGAAAGGAGTCCCGTGCTGACTGTGAGCTGAGTCACGAAGGGAGTCAGGGCCACTAAAGGGCCTTGTGCCTGTATCAGAGGAGCAAAGGGGACGCATACCAGAGATGACAACAAATTGGATACGTGTGGGGAGTGCAAGTGAGAAATGGAGGGAAAGGGAAGCACAAAGTGGGTAATGATAATGCTATTAAAAAAGAATAAAAGAAAGGAGCGCCAACGAATCATCATAGAGAGCAGAGGGAAACTCAAAAGGGGATACAGAAAACAGTAATGCTGGAACTAACAATATTTCAGGTTAAATATGAAATATACTTCATAAAGCTAAGCTATCCATAGTGAAAAATAACTTTATTAACTAGTCCTCTTTTTTTGCCCTTAATTGCATGGGGAAATGTTCATGTTTGTTGCCAATTTTCAAATTTATAATCATAAAAGAGAAAATGTTTGCAAATAAAAGGTGAATAGAAAATTCATGTTAAAAAAAAGCAAAGCTAATAATTGTTCAATCCTCTCCTGCAAAAAGAAATCCGACTTAGTCTGCTTGGCTCAAGAGGGCAGAACCAGAACCAACAGGTGGAATTTAGAGAGGAAGATTCTGATTCAAAATAAGGAAACATTCCTAACAATTAGAGCCATATTGCTTCTGAAGGTAGTAGGAACACCATCAGTGAGAGTCTTAAACAAGAGTGAAGGGGCTTTCCTGAAACAGTGTTCTGGGACAGGCAGTCAGCAATCGGACGAGCAGGCACCAGGGAAGACATTCCTCCAGTCTATGGTAGGTGCCGAACACTACTCCAGGCCTTAAAGTCCTGACCACGGTCACTTCAACCTCTCTTTTCTAGTCAAGTCAAGTCAAGAAGTACTTATTAACACTTACGACATACCAGGCATTGTGCTAAACACCGGGAAGATGATACAAAGCAAGTTCTGCCCCACCCCCCCAAGGCCCTACTCTCAAAGAGCTCACTCTTTTTAATGGGGGAGACAACATGCAAACAAGTATGTACAAATAAGATACAGACACAAGATAAATTGGGGACGGTCTCAGAGGGAAGCCATTAAGATTAAGGAGGACTGGGAAAGGTCTCTTGCAGGTGGGACTTTAGTTGAGACTTGAAGGAATCCAGGGAAGCTGGGAGGGAGAGATAAGAAGGGAGAGCATTCCAGGCAAGGGGGACAGCCAGGAAAAATGCCCTGAGGTGGGAGATGGAACTTCACGTGCAAAGAACAGCCAGGAGGCTGCATCACTGGACTGCAGGGAAAACGGGTCAGGTATAAACCGCCTAGAAACAGCTGAAAGATCAAGTGGGCGGTCAGCTGTTAGATCTGAATGCCCTTTCCTTCTGCCATCCTACACACGTTCTTTCCTGCTTTCTCTTCACTCTGCCCTCTGGAGTTGTAGTTGGGCACTGCATTGGGCAGAGTTCCTGTCTTTCAAAACTGTCTTTACAATTTACAATATTGTCGCTATTGGTAGTATTATTATTGTACAGAGCACAGAGTGAGAAGAAAGCAGGAAAGAACATGCGAGGTTGGTAAGAGGACAGAGCGTTAACACTGAACATCAACCTTCCCCAGGGGTGGGGAACCTTAAGGCCATAGGGTCCCCACCCCCGGACTAGCTCAATTCACCTCTGGACTATTTGAACAAGACAATTAGGTTTCAAAAGTGAGTCAAATGCCATTAGGTCAAGGGTTGAGCAAAATGACCTCTAAGGTCCCTTCATTTTATCTCTATCCACTAGAGCTGCCTCAAGATGGGCTGCAAAGCCTGAGGAAATTATGAAGTTCACAGGGTTGGTCCACTTCCTTTATGAGAACTTTAACTTAGAATGAGATGAAAGAGCATTTAGTAAAAAAAAAAATATTTACCCAAGTTGTTTCAAAGTCGGCAGCGTTCTAACGTCTTCCTTCTCCTTTTCTTCTCAGGGCATTTTTACAAGATTTTCATCCTTACTGGCCTGAAAAAGAGAACTGAATTTTAATCAGTCACATAAAGCAATTATTACTTTGAAATTTTCTTACATTTTCAAATGAAGTGAGTTTGAATCAAGCAGAACTGATGAATGGGGGGAAGTCATATACATATATATATGTGCTCAATTTTTACCATCAGATTGCTTTTCCGATTGGTTTCCAAACCGGAAATTCCCCTCTATGCTACAGCTAGAGTAAAACTAGACTTTTTCAACTATGGCCATTCAAGGGGCTTAGAAATGAGAATATTTGCTTTTAATTTCCTTTATTTGCACTCTGGCATTACATGTTAAAGCGGGGGTTATTCCAGCTTTTACAAACTTGAAAAAAAAAGACATACATTGAATAACTACTTCAACATAATTGGCTTCTTTTGTAGTTCTATGTAGTTTATTTTATGCATTTAAAAACATGAATCTGAGAAGGGGTCTATAGGTTTCAGATCAAAGGAATCTGTAAATCCCTATGGTAAAGCAAACTTTGTATTTAGATTGCTTTGTGTAATACTGAAGCAGCAATAGAAGCCAGTGTCAACCCAGAGCGCCTTCTTTCCTCTACAGAGGAAACTGACAAGGACTTAAGTCAACTAATAAGCAAGCGTTTGCTGATCACACTTAAAACAAGTCAAAAAACTTCCACTATTCCCCAGAAGGAAATAACCATTCAACCTCCCTGTAACACCAAATGTTAATCTTTTAGAACAATCACATCACCTCCCCCTACAAGAAGGATTACTAAAAATGAGGTTAGGGTACAATTTCCAGAAAAGGTTCTTGAAAGATCCTCTGGGTTACTCCATCACATCAAGCAACACACCCTGTGTTTATCCCAAGTCAGAAGCTGTCAATAATATGGGCTACTTCCTGGAAGCGATCTGGCCGGTGAAAACATTGGTAACTTACAGCCTCAATGTGGTACAGTGCAAAAACACTGAATTTAGGGGCAGCTAGGTGGCACAGTGGATAGACAGAGCACCGGCCCTGAAGTCAGGAGGACCTGAGTTCAAATCCGACCACAGACACATAACACTTCCTAGCTGTATGACCCTTACTAGCTGTGTGACCCTGGGCAAGTCACTTAACCCCAATTGCCTTTAGGGAAAAAAAACACTGAATTTAGAGGCATACAAATGTGGGTTCAAATCCTGGCCCTGAGCCTGGAGTCGGGAAGACCTGAGTTGAAATCCAGACTCATACACTTAATAGCTGTGTGACCCTAAGCATGTTACTTAACTTCAGTGTGCCTCAGTTTCCTCATCCATATTAACAGTCCCAACCTTAAAGGGTTGTTGTGAGGAGCAAAGGAGATAGTATTTATAAAGCAATTAGCATGGTGCCTGGCACACAGCAGGTGTTCTATAAATGTTTATACTCTTCCCTCCAGCATGACTATGTTATCTCCAATAAGTAAAGAGGTAGTGAACTAGATCAGAGGTGTCAAACTCACTGTAGCAAAGCAAAGCAAAGCAAAACTCCCAAGTGAAGGGAAGAAGAAAATTTAAAGCTACTTAGGGAATGTTTAACAAAATAAAGAAAAATGCACTACAACAAAGATAATGTTAACTTGTGGTTTCCTTAGTTAATAAGAGGCACAGGAATCCATTTCTATTTGAGTTTGACACTATCAGCCTAGCTAATCTCAATCCTGACTATCAGGGCATTCATTGTTCCTACTGATCCCAGGGGGTCCCCCCCCAAGACAGCACAGCAGCAAAGACCTGGAAGGATTAGGGCACAACTGCCCAAGGTGTGGTACATGAGTGCAGTGTGTCCTTAACAAATGGAACGTGAGTGTGCTGCAAGAAACGATGACTGATGAAGAGGGCGGGGCAGACAAGAAAACAAGGGCAGCGATGACAGGAGGACCGGCCAGAACTCCCGCCCCCCAGAGGGGGGGCCCCAGGTCCAGCTGCCTCTTTTTCCCTGTATTGATCAGCTACAGGATCACAAACGCTGCCCTTCGGGATGGCTCTCCGAGGGGGAGGACAACGAGCGTCACCGAGGCCGGGGTGGCCAGGCTGGAGCTGGAAGGCGCCTGGGCCACCGGAGGACGCTGAGCCCCACGACGGATCCGAAGCGGGGTCTGCCCGAGACCCCCGAGCCACCACGGAAGGGAGGGGAGCCAGGAGACCCTGGGGCGGCCAAGAGCCCGGGAGGGCAGAGGTCACCGTCCAGATCACTGTCCCCACCATGGGGGGGGGGGGCAGAGACGGAGACAGACAAGAAGACACACAGAGAGGAGAGACGAGCTCTCCCGCGAGGGGCATCCCGAGGGTCTCCCCCCACCCCCAGGAAGGAGGCGTCTCCTTGGCGCTATCCAATTACTCAACGTTAATCATGATCGCAATAAAAAACTAATGAGGCACCACGGCCATTCCCACGGCGCTTTAGGGTGCGCCTGCGTGAGCGCTGTCACCCCCATTTTACAGATGGGGAACCAGAGGCGCGGGGACGCGGCCGCAGGTGCCGCCAGGCAGCACTAAGGACACGCCTGCTGTGTGCCGGTGTGCCCCCGAGCTCCTGGAGACCAGAGGCCATCCTAGCACCGGGCCCCAGCAGGCGCCTAATAAATGTCGCTCCCCGCCCCCATTCATTGGTAAGGTGCTGATGAAGGCCCGGGTGCCGGCTTCCGCACGGCGGGGTGCTAGGCCCCGGCGGGCACTACCCCTTCCCGCGCACGCGCGCCGGGCCCGGGCCGAGGCGCCCCCTCCCCGCACGAGCACGAGCGCCGGGGCACGGCCGCGCGCACGCTCCCCCCCCGCGACGCCCCAGGGACACCTCCCAACGCCGGCCCCGACGCTCGGCCACGAAGCGCAACGGAAGCCCCCGGCCCGGACCGGCCAGCCTGAGCCAAGGAGCGCGGCCGGCCCCCTCACCTGGGTGTGCGTGTACCCTCCGCCGCCTCCGTCTTGGCACGGCGTGGACCCAGGCCGGGCCGCCGCTGACAGCGCGGGGGCGGGCGGAGGAGGCCAGGATGACGGCGACCACGGCAGCCCGGTGGAGGTGGACGGAGGGGAGGGGCCTGCCTCCGCCGCGGCCGCGTCAACGACTGCGTCGCGAGGCGGGCCACGCCCCTCCACTGGCCCTCTCGCTGAGGGCGGGGCCTGATGGGGGCGGGGTTGGGGGGGAGCTGCGCGAGAGGAAGACGGGGACTGCGCCCGGCGAGGGGGCGGGGTTAGGAGAGGGAGTCAGGGCTTGCGCCGGGTGTGGGAGGCGGGGCCTGCTCAGGGGGCGGGGTTAGGGGCGGAAGCAGCGCCAGAGGAAGGCGGGGACTGCGCCCGGCGAGGGGGCGGGGTCAGGAGAGAGGGAGTCGGGGCCTGCGCGGGGGGCGGGGTTAGGGGCGGAAGCAGCGCTAGAGGAAGGCGGGGTCTGCGCGCGGTGCGGGGCTGGGGGTGGGGGCCGGCAGAGTGTGAGAAGAGGGCGTGAGCGTGCTCCGCTGCTGGGGGGCGCGGGGCTGGAGGGCTTCTCTGGCTCCTAGCGCCTGTGGCCCCTCGCTCAACCGTCTCCGAGGCAGGAAAGCCCGAGTTACAACCCTTCTTCTGAAACTGATGAACGCTTAGCCTCTCAGTCAGTCCCTAGTCAGCTAGCATTTATTAGGCGCTTACTGTGTACCACGCTCAGTTTCCTCATCTGTGAAGCTGTAAAATAATGTAGAGCCCAACCCAGCGGGGAGTAAGCATCAGGTGAGCAGACGTGCCCGTGGCAGAAGAGGGTCCACGCTCCCCCCGTGTAGATGGGAGCTCCTGGAGGGTGGAACCGTGTGCCTTCTCTGAGCTTGTCCACCCTCCTCCACACCTTCTCCACATTAGCAATGCCCTTTCCAGCCGCAGTAACATGAACGAAGGTTCACGTTATAAATGGAGGTCCTGCGAGGTGCCGACGCCCACTTGCCCAGCATCCCTCTGCACTCCATAGTGTCCTGAATGATTAAATGGGGCAGGGGCTTCACTGGGTCTAGGTGGGGGTAAGTAAGGCCCCCCTGTCCCACCTCTGGCGCGAGAAGGAGGCGAGGAGCCCTTTAGAGCTGCCTTCCAGTGTGAACCTGCACCGTGTGGCTGTGAATGTCACGCCGGTGGGACAGTGAGGCGTCCAGGCCAGCGAGGCCTGGGCTGGGCTGTGACCCAGCGACAGAGAAACCTTGCTTTTCACATGGAGAGGCAGTGCAGTTTAAACGTTCTATCAAGAGTGACGTCATTGAAAGGGCTCATCAAAGCCACGTCTGAATGGGGAGAGAAGACGACTTGCCCAGTTAAAGAATGGGGGGGCGCAGCAACGGATTACCAGTGAGCAGAGATCCTGAATGGGCCAATGACTTTGGGGCCTGCAGTCCAGAACTGTGAGTTACCCTGAACACACGAGCTTTCTTCCTTCTGGGTTCCTGTACGGGCCTGCCCACTCTTCACCGTCACTGTGCAGTGCATTTTGGGGAGAGTGTCTGGGTTTATATGTGTATTGTTTTGTAATTCTTTCTATTGCCTGAATAAGTAAATGGTTATGTTAAAGATCTACAAGTAGCATTACTGGAAGTAGCTAGTTGTGTATTTGGAAAACGCACTGTATAGGGGCTGGGGAGCTAGAGAGGTAGGCTCAAGAAGTGTATTTCTGCTCAGCAGGGCTACCCCAAGCACCCGGGGAGCTTTTGAATGTAGCCATGTGTTGGTGTGAGAGTGAGGGGATCCCCAGAGAGATGTGCCTAGGTGATACGTGTGTACATGGTGCGGGTGGGTATACCCCACTGGGTGCTTAGACCCCACTTGTACCACAGGCAAGGTGTTACATTGTGTTTGGGGGGGCGGTGGTATTAGAAGATGCACCCCATATGCTGCATTACAAAAGCAGTGGCCTTTTATAAGACGGCATGGGAGGACTCATTCTTCCCCAAATACATACATACCAATGGGAACAGAGGATATAGTTCAGGAGCACACTGGGAGGTGTGACTCTGCAGAGCCATAGATGTCTTCCAGGGATGTCGTCTGTTGATGTTAACTAGTGACACCATCATATCGGTCCCACTGGGTCTACTCCTCACCATCCTCTGCCACTTTCTTATTGGTTACTGCTTTGACAGACGCACACTGTGCTGAGTGGTGCTTAACACTAGACCTACTGAATGCTGCTCTACCACCAGCTCCCAAGTCAGCGAACTCGTGGTCTGTCTCTTCCACAGTGGACGAGCGGGGACTGCCATGCTCTTTCAGGCCAATAGGCTTTTGTCTAGTTATTTTAGAGAAAGCAGAAACCTGGGACCAACAAGAAAGTTTGTCTTTTTCTCTGTCTTAACTACTGAAACTTCTCATATTCTCCATATGCCAAGGTCTTTAGAGCAAAGAGCAAAGCCCCCCAGCTAACTAATGCCCTCACACTTAATCTTGTCTTTGGATTCCCCTTCCTCTTCATCTTTACTATGGACCAGGGGCTTGGCTCCCCCTAGCTTCTGGTGAACAGTACATATACTTAACCAGTTTTAATTTCTGAAGCCTAAATTATATTCCAGGATGATTATTTGTCCAATTATTACCAAACATTTCTGGGGATCAGGGTCCCCTGTTTTTCAAAATCCTCAGTCTCTTCTAGTCTCCCATGTAGGTAAGTGGGTAGAGAAAAGGCACAGAGACAGTGCCAGGCCCAGGGAGGAAGGCTGTTGCATCTGACATCAACTCAGCCTTTCATGTTTAGAAGCACCCAGTAGAGGCCTGCAAAGGACTTTGAGGTATATCATTCCCCATCAACATGTATTTCCTGTTCCACCCGCCATCTAAGGGACCCAACTCAGCCCATGTCTTGGTAATTAGCTTCAGTATTGGAACAAAATGAGACCCACATGGAACAGTCAGTAATTAACGAAAGGATAAGCAGCAGAGACAAGCATTGAGAACCCCCTGAGTTGATTCAGGGGACTGGAGATTCCATGTCCAACCACCAGCCAAGCACTAAAGGACCCTTGGTGCTGCTTACGGCCGCTTGGTGCTCAGGCAGTGAGGAAGTGACATCAAAACAGTATGAGCATTTACTCCTCTGAGCCAACCGCATCTCAAGGAGACGTAGCCTAACCTACGTGCGTGTGGGTTAGGATATTGCTCCTACCACACAAAGAAGATACTGTTTGACCCACAGAATTTACGTATTTATGTGTATTGATACAAACTTCATATTGACTTTTATTGCTCATGGTTGCCCTAAATTCCAAAAATTCAAGTTTCTATCACCAGAAAGGAGTATCACAGTGGATAGAGTTCTGGGCCTGGAGTCAGGAGGACCTGAGTTCAAATTTGGCCTCAAACACTTCCTAGCCTTATGATCCTGAACAAGTCACTTCACCCTGTTTGCCTCAGTTCCTCATCTGTAAAACGAGCTAGAAAAGGAAACGGCAAACCACTCCTGTGTCTTTGCCATGAAAACCTCAAATGGCTTCAGAGAGAGTCGGACACGGCTAAAATGACTGAACAAAAACAAAAACATCTCCAGGAAAGAATTGACAATAACAATACTCAGAGAAATACTATAGATTGAATGATGTAATAGAAGATGTGAAGGGCGGGCATTGGAGTTTGGGAGAAGGAAGTGAGGAAAATGAAAACCAATATGCAGAAGCACACAGAGGTAGAATACCGGCTCATTCTGGTGCTGCCCACTGGCAAGACGTGGAAACGAGACTATTGTAGGGATGATTATAAGATAAGCCAAGATTTAGAGACAACATATGGAATTCAGAACTGCTCTACAAAGATTTATTTAGGAATGTCCGATCCAGAGGTTATGTCAGAGCCTTGTGGAAGTGGGCTTTGAATCCTCCATTTGGGCAGTGACGCCATCTGTGAAACCTTAATGTCTATTCAAATCGAAAATCGCTGCCAAAAATTTAAGAAAGCATCCTTGACCATGTTTTGTATTATACTTTCATAATTCCCCAGACGTAAAATTCTGTTCTTTATCATGCTATGAATGTCAAATCTGTATGTAGGTGTTAGGTCTACTGACTTCTTGCTTAGTTCAAACACAAGGGCACTAAACTGAACCCAAGATTCTCAAGTCTTTAATCCAATCTGCCGTCCATTGGTTTCTAGCTTCTCTCATCCCTCTCTCTCTCATCTTTCCCAGGATAAGAGCCAGTCCAACCACATTTGCTTCAGGCTGCTGAGGTATTTGATGTCACCATAGCCATGAGTTACTTAATTTGCATTGGTGCAAAACAACTAAACCAATTTCAGAAAAGCTATTAACTGAAGGACTCAGACCAGCAAAATCCGAACAGAGCTAAAAACTCCCTTTAAAAAAGAGTCTTATGATGTGTTAGGAAAAACCAATCATTCTGTTAACTATTTGACCTTCCAATAATTTTAGCTGTTTTTAACTTTAGCCCCTCCCCCTTGTTTGTTTGTTTTATATCAAACTCAAAATAGTTCTTTTTTTCTATTTGATTTTTGTATAATAAAATATCGGTCCCCGAGTCCTTCCAGAATCATAACCAGAGCATCCATATTTAGTGGCCACTGATGGCCTTCATTGGTACGGTGGGTAGAATGCCAGGACTAAAGTCAGCAAGACTCATCTTTCCTGAGTTCAAATCTGGCCTCAGACACTGACTAGCTGTGTGACCCTGGGTAAGTCACTGCACCCTGTTTGCCTCAGTTTCCTCATCTGTAAAATGAGCTGGAGAAGGAAATGGCCGACCGCTCCAGCATCTCTGCCAAGAAGACCCCAAATATGGAAACGAGTGAACAATAAATGTTGGCATTCACGCTCCTCCCGCAGGTGGAGAAAACTGGACTTAGCACCTCGTTAGCAATAATAATTAGCCCCAGTAGGTTTGCAGTGGGCATGAGTAGACTGCAATAGATAATCAAGAGAGAATTGCAAGGAGATATGAAATCCAGAATCTCATCAGAATAATGTAGGAGTGGGAAGGCGGGTGGACCAATGGCCTCAGGCCACAGTCCCAGCAGGGTGGGCTAGCTTTTCCTAGAAAGGTGACTGACATTAAGATGCAATTGGTTCAGGGGACAAACACCCAAACTACTGGCAA